TTTTCATTCCATATTGGAAATACCGGATCAGAGTTTTTCCACGCACTGCTATTGACATTCAAGTGCAAACACTTCACATGGTAGAAGAACACTTAGAGCACTTCCCGAATTTAGGGCAATTTTCTTTCATCAAATTTTTCTTCAACTTTACCGATTAAATTTACACTAATCGCACTTGATCGCGTAAAGGGCTTACTATTCGACAACATCGAACATATATTTTTAAATAGGCAGTCAAATGCCAGTGGTTTCCGGCACCTCCGGTGGGTGAGAATTTTCTGTTTTGATGATCAACAAGTATGTTGACAGTAGCAGTTTTTATTTCCCGGAGATTTTCAGGGCTGTTCTGTAGTTACGGGAAGTTTTCCCCACCTACGCTCCTAATCGTACAAACTACTTATGTATTTGTCACTCTTTTCATCACTTCCGTGTATGGCTCATATATTTCCTCATCTATATTGAAAAAGTATAATGCATTTTCATTTGTATTGAAAATGAGGATGCTTTTCCACCGGATATCCCCCTCCCACCCCACCGTTCGTTTCTCTACGCCGGTGTAATGCGGCGATGCGCAACCCTGCCCTGCGCGCGCGCTCAGCGGCCGGCCGGCCGCGGCGCGCCCCGCGGGTCCATAGCCTCACGTCGTTATTGGGCCGTTTGTGACCTTACGCTTCAAGATACGCCAGAACTGACGAAATTTCCGCCCAAAGAAGGACCATAACTTGCAATTTTCCTTCAGAATTGATACGTCGCTTGCCAAAATTTTCGAATTTTGGGTTTAGGCCCTTTAGGCCCTTTGAGGCACGGGTTAAATTTTTTAAAATTTTTTTCCTTTTAGGGGGTTCATTTAGAGACTACATAGAAACTTTTTAGGGGTTGACCAACTTGATTTTCGCAAAACTCAAAAATTAGGTACACCCTACGGAGGGCCCCCAATTTTTTTTTGCAACCCCTATCTTATGATACCTCATTTGAAAGAGCATAAAAAACTAAGAATTTTGGCGCAAACTGTAGATCGATATCTTAATTTTTGACTGAGTTATGAAAGGTCAAATTTGACCTATTTTCAAAACATCATAACTCCGGTTCAAATTATCGCCAAGAAAGAAATAAAACGGGAAAATTCACCAAATTGTGTTTGCTTTTAAGTAAAAATTGCAGAAATCACTTCGAACTAATTGAAGGGGGGGGGGGAAGTTTGGACCCCCAAATACGTCAATCCAAAGGACATTCCATTTTCCCGCGAAATAAGCCAATTTCCCCTATAAAAACGAAAAAACGAAAAAAATGAAAAGTAAACGGTCAAATTTAATCAACTTAAATTTCGTTTTTTTGAACTTTTCCCGAAATATGGGGACATGCCCACGTATTGTTCAACTGAGGAATGTAGAGCTGAAATTCAGCGGCCGGCCGGCCGCGGCGCCCCGCGGGTCCATAGCCTCACGTCGTTATTGGGCCGTTTGTGACCTTACGCTTCAAGATACGCCAGGACTGACGAAATTTCCGCCCAAAGAAGGACCATAACTTGCAATTTTCCTTCAGAATTGATATGTCGCTTGCCAAAATTTTTGAATTTTGGGTTTAGGCCCTTTAGGCCCTTTGAGGCACGGGTTAAATTTTTTAAAAGTTTTTTCCTTTTCGGGGGTTCATTTAGAGACTACCTACATAGAAACTTTTTAGGGGTTGACCAGCTTGATTTTCGCAAAACTCAAAAATAAGGTGCACCCTAGCCCTCCGGCCCCCCCCCCTCTGAGGAAGGCACCAAAAGTTTGACCTCCTCCCCAAAAGGTGGTCCCCTTTGAAATAGGAATAACATTCCTAATGTTTCGTTCTTCTATCTCGAATTGGTCAAAAGTTAGAGGAGGGGGACTGGACTTTTGGAACACCCTATATAAATATCGCTGTCACAGCTTTTAGGAGGAAAAGAAAAAAATGAACACCTGGAGACTCGCTCAATGGAGCGAACAAATTTGGTTTGTAAACTACACTAATGTGAGAATGTGATACAATTTGATCCTGTGAATTATGTGAAAAATCGATGCTGAGAAATTGCTGTTAACTCCCCTGAAACAATCGAGGAGAAAGCCTGGTACGGTGGTCTGGGACACCCATGTGGGAGTGGGGTGGAAAAATTGTCCCTCTTATCCAGTACCTATGTAGTTATGTCATTAGCTTTTTTACTTTCAAAAGCATACTTATTTCTGATTTTCATCCAAATCTACATTTTTTTTATTTCATTCTCAGACAATGGATATCAGAGGAAAAAAGAGGCAAAAATTCAAAGGAAAAAGCATGATTTCCAGTTAAGTCGGCTGCGTGTTGCTTCTAACAGTATGATGACAGAGTTCAATCCAAACTATGAATTTGGTGGTGGTACCTATACTATCAACGATTTGAAAGACATCCCGCGGGATAACTTACGATTGGTCAAGGCCCTTGGTCAAGGGGCCTTTGGGGAAGTTTATCAAGGACTTTATAGACACAGGACAGGTGATGCTGTGGAAATGCCAGTTGCAGTAAAGGTACGTATTTTCGGTATCACAAAATCAGACACTTCTCCACTTATTACACCCTTAGTCAGGAAAGTGAAACCCTGTTACATGGTTTCTTTTTGTAGATGTGCTGTTGCACCCTAAGTAATGATTTACGTCGTAAGAAATTGCTTTGAGAGTCTTTTGCAGCAAGGGAGATGTAACTCCATCAGCTTGTAAAAGACACAGTATGTACATGTATCCTAATACATACCAAATTTTTCTGGTTCATCCCCACTGAGCGGCCGGTCGGTCGGCACTCGCGGTGAGCCTCTCGAGTAGCGCTGCGGGAAAAAAGTGAATTTTTGGAAGCATCTGTAATTTTTGAACTCAGCGACCCTCAAGTATACCTAAAAATGTATTTTGCACGGTTTGGACATAAAATCTGATTGATTACCACCCAAATCCGGCTTTGCAACCATATTTTGGCGCGCGGAAATCGGTCGGCGCGCGTTGAGCGGAAACTTTAATCGCTCATAACTCCAGAACCGTTTGGTTCCCCAGGTTACATGACCACTTGTTGGATGCGGAACTAGACGAGCAATTTAAAAAACTGGTTTTGGTTCAAATAAAAAAATGTGATCTTTCAGTTTAGTCTGTTTAAAAGGAGTTGTTTTCCCCCAAAAACTGAAAAAGCACATAAGTTAATTTAAAAATGTATTTATGGGATTTTGAACTTTAGAATCTCAAAATATGCAATTTTAGACGAATTTTCGTCCAAACCGGGCCTCAATATCTTTTTTCGTTCGAAAGATATCGAGGTTCACAGGTTTTGACTTCTACCCCCCCCCCCCAGCGCCCCCCAAAACTTTTTGGGGGTCTGAAAACTTGGGGAAAGAAGCACTCCAGTATGAGTAACTGATAGATGCGAAGTTTGAATAAGTTTTAGTGGGGGGCGAAAAAAGTCGTTTTTGCATACGGCTCTTTGTTTCATTTGTAACCATAATTATACCACATTATCCCACTTAATTATGTCCTTTCTAAATTCGTGGGTTAAAATTACATTTTTCTCAGCATAAATATAGAAGGCTAATTTTAAGTTGAGAGGCCCTCCCCCCCCCCCCTT